GTATTTTGGCACACTTAGCTAAGTCAGTTGGAGCAGTTAGCAAGAGAGAAGTTAGCACAGATAGCTAACCTCACTTAGCCAACTTACAGCAACTTTGCTAAGTTGCCAGGCCAACTTGCTAAGTAGGCCGGGGCTGACTTACTAAGTAGGCCGGGGGGACTTGCTAAGTAGGCCAGGGCCACTTGCTAAGTAGGCCGGGGCCAAGTTGCTAAGTAGGCCGGGGCCTACTTACTAAGTAGGCCAGAGGGACTTGCTACGTAGGCCAAACTGTGCTTGAAAAACTAAATTTCGGAGGGTTAAGATAGATATTTTTTGGTTATTTTTGGTCCGGTGTTGACAGTTCAGTGGCTTCATGCTTTTGAAATGAGCATGTGCGCATAGATCGCCCAATCTTGGAACATAGGTCCCCTTGTGTCCACTTGACCTTCGGGTGTATGTATTTCTACGTCTACATATACATACATTGCACTTAATATTTGCTTGTGCGGAATATCTATCCATAAGTGTGTGTGCGTATGTGTGTTACAGAAAAACACGGCTAGCCAGCCGAATGCAGAACAAACGACAGCGCGGTAGCGTTCGACACACCGACCCCAAAAAATGCGGTTCGATACCGGGTGTTCCACTGTTAACATAATGCATTTTTTGAGCTTGCCTTATATAAAGACGTAGTTTTTCGTCCGATTTTTTTTTTAAAAAATCGAGGTTTGAATCAGGCCCACGCCTGGCACTGCGCAGGGGCCGCCTGCAAGAAAACAACATAGCACGATCGCACGACGGGAATCCCACATGGGTGATACCCTGACATAGGTTCATGCACACACATATTTCCAAAGGGAAATCTCATTGGTTGAAACAAGAAGACAAACATTATCAAATTGTTTGTGCAACAAATCATGGAACAGGGATTGAAAAAATCATGAACATTTAGCAACATGTGTGCCGAAAGAATGTCAAACTCTTTGGTGGCTCGTATATCGCCCGTGGTGTTGAAGTGTGTTTGTAATAGTGTGAATCAACAATGATTCTCACACAAAACAGGAATAACAATAATCCCAAACTTCCATGGTATGCTATCTCACAAGAATCTGCACGAACCTTTCACTCCTGAAAAAACTACGAGTGCTGTTGTTGTTTTTTAAGCGTTGCTAAAACATGTTTGTGAACAATTCATGACTATAGTCGACTGAAAACACAGAGTCGAAGAACAAATCGGAATCCACACCACCATTCAACCACATCCGCTTTCAAATGTCCATGACAGCAAACCACTCCACAGCAGTAGTTGGTTGGCCAATGTTGGTGGCTAATCTAGGGTCCCATTGAAATCAGTTAGTGTTTGATCTGAAGAGCATTCCCAGTGTGCCGAAAAATATGTCTTTAGCAGGCACGCTTGTGTATGTTGTATACAGGTCCACAACCGCGAAACCTCCTGTTTTTTTGTTGTGAGCTGAACATGTAATGTGTACTCACAAGGGCTGCAACTCAATCGCATTTTCCCACTTTACAAGCAAAGCCAGATACAATGATTTTGTTTCAATCCATTAGAATTGGAAGGCTGCTTCTCAAATCGCGTAGACAGGGGGGGACCACCAACATTCGGTCACCACGGCAACTGTGAACGCAAGTGTCCACAACACATGAAAGGCCACACAGGACTGGTCTGTCACATACAGCTGTGAATTCATTGTGCCCCAAAGGCGTCCAGATGTAGGCAACAAGTGCAAGATTTGAGTCTACTTGTGCACAGAACAAACATTGCCCCACGCATTGCTCGCCTTGCAAGTTCAACAACAAAACATCCTTGGCTGAACACTTTGCACCTTGAGAAAAGAAAGCCGTGCTGGAGACCTGAACCTTCGCCGATGGAGCTTCAAAAACTGACCGCAGCAAAGCAACCATACCTGGAGTCGGATCACTTGCCCCACACAATCCACCCTCGAGAGGGTCCTGTGGATCTCCATGCAATTCCAAAAGTTGACATCGCAAGGCCTCCACTAGAACAGATTGCTCATATGCAGAATGCGTATTTGTCAGCATGTCTGCGAACCGCTTTACTTCTTTGTGTTTGCGCTCTTGTGTGAAGCAGGCATAGAGGCATTTGTGATGCGAAAACTGGCGACCCATGTGAACCGAATAGTGGTGTTTCGGTTCACGCGTGGTGCCACGCTTGATGCCCTGAAGCAAATCCAAAACTTTAGACAAACGCATGTACGAATTTATCGCCAAGCTGGCAGCACCAAGTTGTCCTTGTTGCATGCGTCGATGCACAATGAATCGAATGGGCCCATATAGAGAAAGGGCTTCAGAAGCTGAACACTTGACCTCACTGCTTTGAGCCTTTCGAAAGACAGCTTTACCCGAGACGCCCCTGGAAGCGATGGCACTGGGCCATGTATACTCTTGAAGCTCACAGTACAAATCTTCCTGAGTCATCCCACACCCTTTCAAAGCTTCAATCAAGAGAGCACATTCCGTGTTCCACACCCCCCCTGAGAGGAACGTGTGCATCCAGTCGAACATAAGGGCTGAAACTGCAGGCAGGCCAAGCTCCGTGCACAACAGAACACCGTTTTCAACATAGTTGAAACCACTGTACTGTTGCATATGTTTCCAAGCAGTCTTCGAGACGTTTCCCTTTTGCTCACCCAAGTACTTGAGAACATCACGAACCGATTCATCCGAAGCAAATTCAATCTTGGTAAAATCCAGGCAACACGATGTAACTAGACGATTCTCGGCGTCATAGTCAGCAATTCCCGATTTATGGTCCACCAAATTTCTGCACAGGGGGCAGAGGAAGCTCCCTGCGGCCCCCTTCATGGAGTAAAGATCTTTCAATGCTAATTCATCTCCCAAAATTATTGAGATTTTGGCAAACAATACTCGTCTGTCAGTCTGGCCGAAAAAGCGGAGCGTAATACCGTCTCGAATGTCGCATGGCTGGTAAAAATTGAGCAATGCATATTTCTGATACTCAGACATGCCACCGGCCAATCTCTTCACATGAACGCTTCGCGCAAAACCCAGTGGAAACCAGTGTCTCTCCAGCGAAAGAGCTTGGGGCCCATGTTGACGGAGTGCCCAATATCCGACAACAATTTTTCTTTGGTTGTCATTGGCCAATGGATTCCCTGCCTGTACTTCGTCAGTGTAATATATGATGTCCAATGAGGAACCATGAGAACACTCATGCTCACGCAAAACAATGTGCAGCAACTTCGAATACTCTTCACAGGATTCTGCAATATGATACAGCAAGGCTAGGGGGTTTACGAATGGCAGATCGACCTGCTTGGGCAAAGTTTTATCTTTTCCAGGCTCCAAAGTCACTCTCCGCTTTACAATCAAGGACCCATATGGGGTCGAGATGTTGACCTCCTTGTCCCTTGCTCTTTTGATGGTGCGTCTCGAAATGGAGGTAGGCAATCCTGTCTTTGAAATTTCTTTGAGAACATGTTCCAAGGCTGACTGGGACAGGAAATGGTGGAGACCCAGTGATCCAAGCGAAGTCATCTTTGTCCACTACACATGGCCGCACAACGCTGCAATGCTTAAAGCGGGCTTTCCAGCCCAGCCAGCGAGTCTTTTCTCAAGACCCAGCTAAGAAAACCATTGCGGAATGTGCCGTGGACTTCTCAAACCAACCATTGCGGAATGCGCCGTGGACTTCTCAAACCTCGTGTTGATAAAGCCTGAAGCAATGTGCTAAACAACTAAAACCAGTCTACAATGAATGAAACCAATACTGCAAAACATCCTGAGACTGGCATCCCTCGCCTCCTAAATTTCTCACAGCATGTTGATGCAAAATCATGTGGATAGAATAAAATTTCTATTACTACTACAGTTACTACATTCTTCATTTTTGTGTGTGTGCTTCAAAGTCTTGAACCTGCGGGAATCAAGAAACATAGGCACGACTGACAAAATCAGGAAGAAACGCATCTCTTACAAAGTTTTAAAAACACAAACGTTCCACCAATCCTTTTTATTAAGGTTCAGCCACACTCTTCACACACTAGCCTCCTCAACTGAGCCATTCAGTACAGTCATGATTCGTGATCACGTCGCAGCCAAGCAAATTGGTGGATGTTTTTGCACTCCAGCCCGGATGTCTGGTAACTTGTATACGCTTAGTATACAGCTACGCCATAGACATTGCAGGCCTGCTGGCCCAAAGCACACAGAAAATCTCAACGGTTCCCACGCATGTCGTCAAGGGTGATTAAAAAAGCACAATCAACCTGCAACGTCTCCCCTTACCCCTTAACAAAATCAATGTAGCTCACGCTCCAGCTTCAACGAGACGCAAAGCCTTCTGAAAGCTGGCAGCTTCATCACCGTGAAACGGAACCTTCTTGTCGCACCTATCACTTTTATGTACAAAGACCCGCCAGCACAAACCTTTGTCCGAACGGTGCACCTTGCCATTTTTGTGAAAGTATGTCCCGCTGCCAGGCTGTGGAACCTTGAGGTGAGCCTTTTTGACTGGAGATGCTCCTGTTTGCTTCTTATTGGATGCTTGTGCTTTGCCCTTTGGAGATGGCTTTGCTTTCCCCTTGGGTGTCGGAGCTGCCTTTGCTTTCCCTTTTGCTGCTGCCTTAGCCTTTGCTTTGCCTTGTGGTTTGACCTTTGCACCTGGTGAAGTCTCCTTTGCATTCTCCCTAGCCTTGAATGCATTGCTCACATTGGCCATGTGTTCCTCAGGTGTCTTCACGTTATTGCCGGGACTCTCCAAGACTGGCAGATCGAAGAGTTCTGATTGTTTGCACTGCTCCTTGCTGGTTTCAGGTGCATCCTTGGTGTCCATCTGTGCTGGTGAATCGTGCTTGTCTTCCAAGGCCAGTGGCTTCCTGGCCGTTTGTGGTTCCTGAGCGGTGTTTGCCAAGGCTTTGTTTTTCCTACTGTTTTGAAACACTTGCAGGCCAGATAGCCCCACATCAGCCCCTGTCATAGATTGTCCTTGTAGAACTTTGTTAAGCATCACAGCTGCAGCCATGACCTGGTCTGCGGAGAGACCGAATCCCGTCGCTGCTACTTGATTTGGTTCATTACGCACTGACTTGTGCGTTTTCCTGCATCCAAAGTCCAAACTGCCAACCCCCCTTGTCATGGTGAGCCCGGCATGGCTCTTCGTCAGAATAAGCAGACCTGATGCAGGCTATTTGTTTGAGTTCATCTCGACAAATCGGGACTTGACATGAACTCGTACAAAAAGGAAGAACTCGTACAAAAAGGACAACACATATATATATATGCAATGTATATATTATGACAAAGACTATGTAAACATGCGCCACCGCATCGAAGTTCCGGTTTCCAAGAAACCATCAAATCAACTGCAACTTCACAAGTGGAGAGAGCACGCCTCCAAATGGATTCGGGTAGGTCGCGGGGATCTTCTGGATAATTCGCAAGGTGGTCCTCATTGGTCATTTCCCCGGTGCCCCTCAAAGGTTTCACCTTGGCCCTCAACTTCGCCTTCAAGTCCTGCACCGCATTGAACTTGTCCTTGGCACTTGTAGCTTCAAGACCGCAATCGACCATAGTTGCCACAATGTGCTTGACTGTTGGCTCCTTTGGGCAGTGAAGCTTCAGCATGAAGCATCTCTCTGCTATGGTGTCGATCTTGATAGACGAATGCACATCTGCTTTCAAGCAATCCAAATCTGTTTTGGTGAGGTAGGTCGAAAAGCCACTGACAGTTTGACCACAGCGCCTTCCTTGCTTCTTTGTATTTGAACCTACCTTGCAATCGACGCTCAATGCAAGCTTCTCAGCCATCTTTTTTTGTTGGGCACTTGTCCAAGGCCCACTGGAGATGGCATCAGAGAGAGATGTGGCATCAGCTAGAGAAATGTCGCCCTTGTCATGTTCGAAGCGACGTGCAAACATGTTGGCTTGGGCATCCATCATCTTGTCAAAGACGTCAGCGCTCACCAAGCGCTTTTGCGAAGACAGAAAAGTGTGCACATGCTGCAAGTCAGCAAGCACCCCTGCCATGTGAGAAGCTGCAAGTCCGCGGGTCAACTACGGCACTGGTCAATCAACAAGCTCACACTGGGAAAGCCTGTACATTCAGCCAATAATCCATATGGCCAGCGAGCATGCATGCCCAGCTCAGTCATGGAGTTGCAATTTGCACTGGAAAGTGATGGTCAATCCAAACAGTTGCCGAAAAAGAAGAAAGCAACACAGAGAAGCTCTACAGCATCCCTAGTCTCAGGCATCAAAACATGTCTTTGAGTCACACTGCAGAATGCTCGCAAAGGGTGTTCGGTCACAAAGACGGGTTCTCCAAAAATACATGACAAAACAGCATCATCCACCCACAACATGATGAAACTGATGCTCAACACACGTTTTGTATGGCAGATTTGCATAGCTCCATCAGCATGTCTCTAACAAAATTTGCATAGCTCATATAGGCTATGAGAATAACAAAATCTCTACGGGATGTAGAAGACACCGTGGCACTAGGACTCACTTCAATGCCTCGCGCATGGTCTGATTCGAGCAGTTCTTGTAGTTCAATTCAAGGAACCAGAGCCCAGGCGCCTGCTTCATGACTTTGCGCCTTTTGACCTCAAGTTCACCTTGTTCACGTGCGCTGTGCTTCCACACAGTGCTAAAGTCCTTGACTTCGAAAGCGCTCCGAGAGGTGATCATCTTCAGCTTGCAATAACACCCCCACTGGTTGGGATTGATACTCTCGAGCTCGTTCGAGATGGCCTCCCTCAATTCACGCCCCGCAGCACATCACATTTGGGGATGAACACGTAGCACAACATGTCGCCGCCCATCAGGGTGAGCGCCTCAAACACCAACCCCTCTTCGACATAGGATGCGTTCAAGGTCACTGTCTTGGTGTAAGCCGGCACTTCACGGACCACCATCTTCTCAACGAATCGCTTGCTCTCAAACAAGTGGAGCGGCCCATCTCGATCTACGACGTACCATGGGAAGAAGCCTCCTGTGGTGCACCCTGCTCCCGTCAAGAACAGCCTAGGATTCCTCTCCTTCATGCGCTGCTCTTGATAGCGCGGCAGTCGCCGCCAATCTCCAAGGGTGGTTGTGTCGATCAAGCTCAACATGCGATTGTCCGTCCTCACTTTGATGTACTCGTACGCCACGTCGTAGCGATTCGCCATGATCACAACTTGAAATATCTTGAAATAAAGGGCTTCAAACACTGGAACGTTTCATGAGCGAGCTTGACAAGCCCAGCTCCAGCGAGCCTCAGCCCAGCATCACCCATGCAATGCTACAAGCATACAATCAGCAAGCAACATGTCCAAAGTACTCACACAAACTCAACAAGCTGATTTCTTGGGGTGTCCGTTTCACACTTGATTGCACTCTCAAAACAATTGAAAACGGTTGCTTTAAAAAGGAAAGGCTTGGAGCTTTTGGTCTGTGTTGGATGCGCACACATGTATGCAGTTTGGTTCTTACATAATGCTCTCACGGACATAGTTTCCGGATAAACATGAACACACTCTCACTCCTCGCATCTTCTATACTTCCAGAGGCATGCATGCTCTGTGCTACCTCTGGAAACAGACACATCCGTGAAATTGCTTGGACGCTACTTGTAGTTGTAATGCCGGCAGTGATCCACTCTCCTACACCCTATCCAACATGTTCAGTGGTTCATAAAAGTGTTTGCTTACTCTTTCTGCATCTTCATTTGGGTCATGCCTTTCTCTTGAGAGGTTCTTCCGGCTGTCACTCTTTCCAAAGTACATGTTTTTATTCCGTTGTATCTCCCTAACCTGAACCTTTCCAGTAGCATTGCTGCTCCCTCCCTCGACACTGAGTCATTTCACTTTTTCCTCTCCAGAAATCGGAGATGTCGCCATCTGTACACGTGTGATCAAGGCCGTGCTCATGCTATTCATTGGGGTGTGAAAGTGTTTGAAACTTCATCCCAGCCCAACCCCCAGGTACACGGAAAGAGCAGAAACGTGTCACAGATTATGTTTTTCTTTGTGCCATACATGTTTGTCTACCTCTAATCGCATTCCCGGAACAATCCCAGCAATGACCATTTCACAACACTGGCATTCCTATGAAAGTGATTGTTTGCATGTTTTTTATCAATTGATAAATTTCAATATCTATGGATGTTTTGTTTTTATAGATTGATAAAAAAAAATCTTATCAATTTATATAGATTGATGACTTTGCACAACAACACTATATCAATTGATAAATCTAAATCAAAAGAACCAATTGAAATTTATCAATTGATAAAATTAAAGCAACAGACCTAATTGAAATTTATCAATTGAT